AAATTAACTGCACCCTAATTATACAAGTAACATCCAAAAAGGGTAACATACATCCCTTGTGCAAAGGGCACGTCACAAGAATATTTAAAGAAATATTCTTGGGGCTGGGGATTTAGCTCAGTGGCAAAGCGCCTGCCTGGCAAGCACAAGGTCATGAGTTTGGTTCCCGGTACCGGAGGAAAAAAAAAAAAAAAAAAAAAGAAATATTCTTGGGACAGGGTGATTTAGCTCAGCGGCAAGTGTGAGGTCCTGAGTTCAATTCCCGGTATCTTCCCCCAAATTCTTCTATGCTATGAGGGTTAGCAAATTTGCAAGACCTGCTGGAGGGACTATAAAAAGTAAGATCTTATGTTTCAAATATAAATATAAGCTGCCTTTCTTCTGTTCCTTGCAATATAAGGCAAATCACATATATGAAAAACTCAAGCATTTTCTTTTGAATTGGTTTTAGCAAGAAAAAATGACTTTCTTTACAAAATCATTTTAAAGAAGAGCAGAAGAGAGTTACAGAGAATAGATTTCCCCTGTCAGCCAGCACTAACAAATTCTCCTAACCCTTAGACAATACTATTCTTATAGAACATTTAATTATGTTTATAACACGGGTGACAGAAGCCCTCAGCACATTTTTTAAACGACGAGTCCCTCTGCATTCCTTCTATTTCTAACCTCAGTTTGAAAGACTCTTACTAAACATGCAGACACAATCACAAGGGTTTTCTAACAGCTCCATTTCTTCTACACGGGGGTCAGCGGTAATTTTTAATATTACTCCAAGCAGAGAAAAGGGGCTGTTTTATTTTTCCTTGGAACAAGTTCCTGCCAGATTTGCACACTGCAGTTCTCTGGTGATGTCACGAGAACACATGCCCACCCACAGACACCGATTTTGCACTTCACCCTTCCCCACCAGCCTCTGACACATGCTGCCCGTGTTCCACTTCATGGAGTTCAAAGGCCCAGTCCAACAGCGGGGCCCCCTGAGGCCCGAGCAACGGCAGGCCAGGCCACCCTGATCCTCTGCCGGATGGGGACAAGGAACAAGTGCTTCAAAGAAAGCCACTGAAGGAAGTCAAGCCCAGCGCAGGCGGACATCTCTGATCTGAAATATCCGTGCAAGTGCGTGAGTCAACACCGAAAACAAAACCTCATCTCTTGGGCTGAAGTTTGCAAAGAGGTACAATCTTGTTGCAGTTCCTTGCACAGTGAACTCTCTGAAGATGACAAAGCCACCTCCCTGGGCTGCCCTGAGAACCAGCAGCGAAGAAAGGGCACTCTACCGCTCTCACCACAAGCCAAGAGCTCCTTCCAGGAGAACTGAAGTGCCAGCCTCGTTCTGAAGCATCTTCTTTCTCTACGGTGATCTTCACTCGTGGGGAAACGCTGGTGATTGAGAACCCAGCAGGAATGCGCGTTGTTTCCGCTGGCTATTCACATCCACTCTGAGACAGACCGGGCATGCTCAAACCAACCAACTGTCAACCAAACTTACACCTGAAAGTATGCAGAGGACTAATAAAAGCCCATGACTTTTTGATAAGGGAATGGCTCTGTGTGCCACCTACATTTTCTTAAGAGTGAGTTGATGTGCTAGAAGCCTGTACCACGCTTGCCTCTGGCTTTTCTGAGCTACACAGGAAAGCCATTATTGCCAGACAATAATACAAGATTTACCTACAAGTATTATTAACTCCACCTACACTGTAGGCAGAATGACCATCAGCTCCAGACGTGGGGGGTAAGTGTAACAGCAGACAGGTGGGCCGTAGACAGGTCACACCCTCCCGTGAGAGCAAGTCACAACCACACAGCCATACAGCAAGAACGCAGTGGAGCCCTCACGAACGAGTCTCTCCAAAGGTGTTTCTAAATGTGGTAGGTAAGCTATATATAAATGTTTTGATGAAAAAGGTTACTGAATGCATACCAGTAATGGCTGAGTCATTAGAATACAATTTAAATACACGCTAAAAGGCGGCGGGGGTGGGGGGAGAGCTGTACCACTGAAAATTTCTTGGACACTTTTAGGATTCCGATGCTGTGCTTGACCACCCCCCCCAAAAAACCAGAGCAAAAGCAGCTGTCCAAAGTAATGTCACTTCTATGTGGCTCAGAAAACATGGTCACCAAAACTATCAAATGGATTTTTCAGAAAACAGGGTCACCAAACTATCAAATGGATTTCTGAGTAAGGCAGGTTTTTCTAGATTTCAATCTAAGAAGAGTTAGGTTCTGAAGAATAAAAGAGAGTAGCTCCAAGTTGCTTATTTATACACATGGCAATTACTGGCTCTGGGTTACAGACTCGAGAAAGCCTGTAATAAAACACCAGAAGGAATCGGTCACCAATAATGATGAACCCACTAAAGTAGGGACTGATAGGACGACAGGGCTGGGTCTAAATCTCAGGTACTTTTGAATTTACCACTACCTCACATATGGCTCTGAATACACAGGTTGGAGCGGCTCACTCACGATAGACTGCTTCCATGTAGAATGGTAACAGGCAATGCATTCTTTTCCCCTCCAAGGGAAGGAAGGATCTAAAGCCACGCACTCACTTTGGACTATTGGCTCATAGCGCTTAACAGCAAAGGGGCCTCCCGGGACAGCAGCCAGGGCCCTGCAGGGGATCATGGTCATTCTCAGTGGTCCAGAAACCCCATGTGCGGAGCTAGGAGAAATCTGTGCTCTCTGGAAAGAACTCAGGACCTGAGCTAGTCTTAAGGACACAAGTCTTGGGAAAATAAGACATCTTTACAGAAACACCACTAAATCAAGAGTGTTCGTAAACTGGGTGTGGTAGAGCAGTCTCATAGTCCCAGCACTCTGGAAAGCTGAGGCAGAAGGACAGCAAGGGGGAGCCCAGTACGGGCAACACAGTGACCTACTGAAGCCCCGTCACAGAAGAAAAAAAGGGCTGGGGATACAGTTCAGTGTGAAGACCCAGTGCCACACACTTGGTTTTTAGATCCCTGCCTATAATCATTTTCGGCAGTCTCAAGGAGGAAAAGAAATGACATAACCAAACTTATGTCTGTAATATCAGCATTTAGGAGGCTAAAGCAGAAAGACCGTCACAAGTTCAAGGCCAGCCTGAGCTATATAGTAAGTTCAGGGCTAGCCTAGACTATGTAGTGAGACCCTGTCTCAAAAAGCAAAATCAAAACCTGAACAAAACAAAAATACACACATATACACACCCCTAAATGTTTCAATGAAGTCAGAGAAAATGAGCAGCTATGTTGCCTTCAAAATAAAACTCACAGTATTTTTATGATAAATGTTGATAAAGCAAACTCTAAATTGACTACAGCATTCACCAAAACTGCAAGAGAGAACCCCATTTACTATAAGATTGCAACATATGAGCTTTTAGTTCAAGCTAGTATTTTTAAGGCAGCTTTCATTCCATAACTTAAAAAAAAACAAAAAAACAAAAACCTGCTAATGAGATGGAACAAAGAGGGTCTCTCACTTTGAATCTGAAGTATTTTTTAATATCACCAAATGCTGTGGTTAAATATGCACTATATATGATGTATATACACATGCATATAAAAATAAGCACTACAGATGTGGACAGGAAAATTCTTAGCAAAACCCCCACATATTTCAAATACTGTTCTTCCTCATTATTGTCCTTTACCATAATTAGCATGTTACAGCATAACAGGTGGCTTTCATTTATAGAATGCAAAATTAATGAAATTTGGAGATGGTCCTGTCTCCAAAAACAAATTGGCCACTCTTTAAAGAAAAAACAAAAGTACACACACACACACACACACACACACACACACCCCTTAATCTACAAAACAAAACAAACACATCAAACTCCCTTCCAAATTATATGAATATTCTCAATGTGCTGAAATCAAGAAATAGAATGCATTTATTTATTAACAGTTTAAAATTCACACATCTAAAGGGAAAGAGGTCACTGTATGGGCTTTACAAGAAAGGGGAAGAGGAACACAGAGCGCCTACTTTTCCAGCTTGGGAGCCCCAGGTTTGTTTTCCGCTCTCCAAGTGTCAGCAGGCTTTACCACTAATGCGAGATCTTAGGCAAATTTGTGAGCACTTGTGTGATAGGTCCTGACCCAGCCATTCTGGACAGACAGACAGGAAAACATAAATAGTACTGCTATAAACTAACTAAAGCATCTGTCCCTAACAAGTAGGACTCCAAAAGTAGCTTTTAAAAATACGAGGAGACATTGAATAGACTGTCAACACACACAGGAATGTTTAATATACTCAAATAAACAAGATATGTGCCTTAACTGGTCAGGCATTGTTTAAATTTAGTGAGGAGAGAGAGAGAGAAGGTCAGACAGGCAGACACTGCCTCCCAATTATGCAGAATGATCCTTCAGATCATGTGAAAGCTATAATTAAAGGTTGCTACCAAACCTCCACTACCCTTTCTCCCACCTTGCAGAAGTTAATGCATGAATTCAGTATGAACGAACTGTGATCTTCAAAAAACAACCAGATTCACTTAGGAGGGGAGTAAAGCTTTCCTGCATTAAGTTATGCATCTTGGAGGCAGAGGAAAAAAGCACAGTACCAAAAGAAACCAAACACAATTCAACAATAAACGTAAGACCACCTTCTTCAGGTCTCTTCTGTTTATTGATCTTTTTTTAAGCTCCAAGCAACCCACCCAAAAGGTACATCACCCCTTCAAGCTGTTTTCTAGGCAGCATCTTTTACAGTCAGGACTTAAAAGGGACGAGTTAAAATAATTTTAATCTGAATATCTAAGGAAATATTTATTTTCAGAAAGGAAGCCCAGAGAAGAACTCCATGTCCACTATCAGTTCAGTGGTCACTTATCTGTCCTTGCACATGGGCACACACTCACAAACACACACGCTTGGGTTCTTTACAATTAGAATAATTTTTCTCCCTTAAAAAAGGTTAAAAGCAAACACAGAAAAGGTAAAGCAGAAGAAGAGAAGAAATTAAAGTTCACAGAAACAGTAAACACATACCTGCTGGGCGATGCCATGTCCTCTACATTGTAGAGCCCAAGAGCTGGGTATTAGCATTATTGCTGCTATAAAGCTTCCGATAAAAATGGATCGTCTCTTGCTGACCTGAGAACCAGCTGGCTGCCTGAGAAGTGGTTTCCCCCATATATGATTCAGTCTCCTTGACAAATATACTGCATTGTACTGGGTGAGTCATCCGAGGGTTAGTCCGCATTTTATGGTCCTGTTGTGTCATTACTCACATTCAACATCCTGCTTCTCAAAAGTGGAAACTGGAAGCCTGACAGCTGACAGATGCTTTTTCCAATTAAAATAATGTTTAAAAAATTCCTGTAAGTATGGTTCTCAATCACTGAGGACAGGGTGAGGTGCTCAGGAAGCAAAGAGCACCGCTCGATACCTGAGATCAGTCTGCGGAACCACAAGTGTGAGCTGGTCACTCATCTCCAGCGAATCGCTCTGTGCAGAGTTCAGAGCCAGGGTCCTCTCTGCAGCTATCCACTGGCCTGGTCTAGGCAGGAACTTGATTGATTCTTGTGTTGTAAGGTTACCCAGTTGCAGAAGCACAGAAAAAAAGCACACATTGAAATTGTGGTCCCCGGATGAATTTTGTTGCGGGGGGGATGGCAGCACCGTGTTTACAAAATGTCTGCTTTGAGGCACACTGAGGTATATTATGGGTGAGATGACACGATATCTAAGACGAGTTACAAATAGCTCAACAAAAAATTAAATAAAAAGGGAGGGAGTGAATATGTGGCAAAGTCTGCATAAACTGCTGGGTTTGTGTGGTGAGTACATAGGTGGTTTGGGAGTAGTTTTTTCTCTTTTGTAGATGCTTGACATTTTTCGTAACAAAAGAATTCACATACTGTATATACACATATATTTTCTCCCTCCCTAAAATTCAGTCTATACCCAAACAGGATGCTTTCTAGTTAGGCACAAAGCTACCACACATGCGAGTCGGGGAGGAAGGCGTCCCATTCACACGGTCCCTGGCCTGTGGGTGTGGGAGCTGAACTTGAAGTTGATTTAGTCTTCCGGCTGAAAGGCAGGATTCCAGTGTCCTAAGGCCATTGTGCCAGCTGCATGACCCCTGAACAAATGCCTGCTACCTTGCCCTCTAAGATGGTCTGGTGGTTGTTTCCTCACACTGTCTCTGAGGACACAAGTCCTGGTCTTGTTCATGAGCTCAATGTTAACATTATGAGGGAGAGGGGGCCATTCCCAGCTCCCTTTATGGCTTTGGAAATGCACCGCAAGGGGCTACCTAAGTCGAGTCCCGAGTTCCTACATCAGCACAATCTCCATCAGGTGCCACTGTTCGCCCGGCTCCCGTCATGCTCGAAGGGGGTGACTTAAACCATCTGGGGAAGGAAGAGAGCTCTGACTTCACGGCTGGGAGGAGAACAAATAATCCGGACATGGAAGCTCCAATGTATGAGGAATGAAAGCACTGTTGAGGCCAAATGTCATTTCAAAAACTGTGCAAGTGGACGTGCTCTGAATGCATGACAAGTCACCACAGAAAACGCCCAGAACCTCTGCAGTGTCCTGTGTCTCACCCCGGCCACGAGCCAACTCCAAGGGGTACTGTGTAACAGAACTGCAACCCGGCTGCTGCAGGAGGTGGGGACAGTCCCCAAACCGCATCCAATGTCAACCTCTCCAAGAGGGTTTGGAAGGAAGATTTCTGGCTTTGACGCCGCCTTTCCCCCTCAGGGCTGCAAGCTAAAAGCCTTGTTGCAGTGCTCTCTTGCAATTCACGACCTTTCACATATCTGCAAATCCTAATGTACCTGTACAACAGGCAGAAGTGGGAGGCACGAGTGCATGTCTTGTCTAAGAAGGTTCTAGAAGTATTTTAAAGAAATATAGCTCATGAAAGAATTTTATAATTCAGATCCCAGCAGTTAAAAAGCAGTAATAATGTATGGACACAGAGACTCAGAGAGACATACAGAGAATGACTAGGACGCGGATGTGACACAATGCTAACAAATGGAAGAACCAAACTGAGGGAAGAGTTTCACACCCAAACACCTCAAGACAAAGTTAAACACACAAGCACAGGAAAGAAAATACATAACCCCTGTTCCAAAACAACAAAAACATGACGCATGGACTTAATAACTGCTGTAGCCGGTGCTGCTGACAGGCCCACCCATTTGAAGAGCTTGGACCACAAAGCAACGGATCAACATGTTAGCGCTGGGTTCAGGCTTTTCAAAGGATGTTCCATGTACACACACAGACAAAACCCAAACATACAGAGTCGCTGAGAGCACAGTTTAAGTTTGCTTGGCCTTCGCTTGTCCTGAATGTCTTTGACCTCAGAAACCCCACCTCCACCTCCCTACCCCTCACCGCCCCGGTGAGCCCGAAGACAGAACTTTGGAGAACATGACTGGAGGCCACAGAACACTTTCTAATGATTTTTACTCAAGTTTTCTTGAAAATACATTTTACTTCTTATAACAGACACCCAAACTTTTTTTTCTTTTTGGTGCTGTGGAGGATTGAACCCAGGGTGTCGAACATGCTAGGCAAACACTCTAATGCAGAGATTTCCCCTCAGCCATCCAAACTTAGTTTCTTCAGTGTGCAGATCTCTCTGGCTGCCTCTGTGCTAATGACCGCCACCAGTTACTCCCCCGCCCCCCACGCATGCCGGCGTGGCTGATGCCACCATCACTGGCATCCGAGGACCCCAATGCAGTGGGGATGATCTGCATTCCCAGCATGGAGGTCCCCCCAACCCCGCGTCAGAGCCCTTGTCCTTCCATCCTGGAAGTCAGCCATGATGTGCTTTTGTTTTCCTCTTGAGCTCCCCAAGCTTCACATGTTCACTCCCTAGCACTGATCCTTGGAAATTCAGCAAAAGTAGCCAGGGGAAGAACAGCCTAAAAGGTTTATTTCTGAAATTCTTACTATGCATCAGTGTGTAAGAGTCTGTAACAGTGATCTGTATTTCTGTTGTTACTGTTAGAGAGCAATTGCTGTCTGTCAAGATCTGAAAGCAGGGGCTGGGGATTTAGCTCAGCAGCAAAGTGCCTGCCTGGCAAGCGCAAGGTCATGAGTTCAGTTCCTGGTACCAGAGAAAAACCAAAAAAAAAAAATCTGAAAGCAGACCTAAAAGCAAACATATGTATCAACAATGCATGTGGTGCTGTGTGGGGAACAGCATGAGCTTGGCGTCAGTTGTCTTGGATCAAAAGTCCAGTCTTGCTTTCACTTACATTATTTGACGGGTCGGTCCAAGACTTTATCTCCCTATCTGTAAAATGGGTATTTCACCACCAGCATCCTCCCCAAATAACCTGTTTTGAACAGATAATTATGACCACCCCCAACAAACACCTAGCATAGAGCTTGGCCATGTATAGAACCCTCTTCAGTTTATACAAACAACAGTCATGAGGATTTCTGTAGGTTCTAGGCGTTTAGACTCTCAAGGGTGGGCAACCGCCATGCTCATCTGTTTACATACTGTCTACCAGGACACAGTGAGCAGTTGTGACAAAACACAAGCGGTCACTAAAGCTGGAATTATTTGCTAGATCTTTACGAAAAAACTTCCTGACCCCTGGTGATCAACATTTGGGGGGATGAAGAACTTGTATAGGTCTTTTCCCTATAGAAGTTTTGGTCCCTGGTTCCTTCTTCTGCTTGATGTACCTGTTTTTTCTTTTTTTTGAGACAGGGTCTCGCTATAAAGCCCAGGTTGGCCTTACACTAATAGTGATCCTCCTGCCTCAGCCTCCCGAGTGCTGGGATTACAGACATGCACCACCACACCCTTAACGTACCAATTTAGAAACAGATACCTAAGTATTATTTATGGTGGTTTGGACCTTATAGCTTAGCTCCCGCTTTCCTTATAATGCAAAACATACAGCTCTGGGTCTCAGCAAGTGGGAAAATCTACAGAGCTCGAGGCCGCCTGTTGGCTTTTCTGCCGCCCCTCTTCCCCGATCTGCCCAGAGACCCCTCTCCTCCTCCACGTTACATCTGTGCATTACGCAGAAACCACGTGTCCCCAGAGCTTAAAGCAAGAGGTGAAAGAGCAAACAGAAATGAAGGATGCTTGCTAGAGAGCTGGGGATGCGGGGTTAACAGAGCCACGGTGGGGGTGCAGGAGAAGTAGGGCTGCAGCAACATGGCCACCGCCGAGGGAGCCCAGGCAGGGAACGGAGGGCCGACGCAGAACAAGGAAAGGCAGGCCTCAAAAGCGGTCCCAGGACGCAGCCTTGTATCCAGTCGGGCTGCGTACTTCTCTGGCAGAAAAATTTGTTTATTTGGGGAAACTAAATCCACTGCAGTAATGGATAACGCAGGTGAAGGGGGTCCTGGGGCTCGTCTCTGGGAGGGGAAATCTGAACAAAAGAAACCTTCTAAGTGCCTGCGGTTATGCTCTGGTGGAAAGAAGTCTAAGCCAGCTGTTCAGGCAGAAGCGAAATGTGGGGTGTACTGGGGTACGCAGCGTGTTTCTGGTGACCACTTGTTGCCTCACTGAGAAATACCAACATCTATAAGAGGTCAAGGCGGCGGAGAAGCGCTTGTGTTAATGCTAAAGAGAATGACAGGCTGGCTAGGGGAGGGGGCGGGAGGCAGATCTGTGCTGTTACCTCTGGAGAACAGAATTTCAGAGACAGTGAACACAGTGAGAAATCGCACCTCAAGCCAAGCCAGGCTCCAGCCGTGTGTTCCTTGAAGTCTACTGGGCTGGCGGAAGAGGTAAATGCATGGAAGTTCTTGCCGAAGCTTGCGGTTAATTTGGGGATGCTCGGCTTTGCCAGAGCCAGCTCTGCGCTGATGAGATCCACATGGGCTAGTATGCTAAGTAGTTTTTATTCTTTAAAATAAGAGACCCAGTGATGTGAAGGCCATTCCAAGCTAGGGCTGGGGATGCCCAGGTTTCTTCAGGAAAAGGCAAAGGGAGCTCTCATTTCCCCAGCACCCACTCTGTGTGGGTGTTCTGTGTGCTTACAACACTGCACCTTGTCATTTTTTTTCTGGCCTACGTGGAGGGCAAGTACCGGGTTGAACTCGTAGGCAAATGTGGTCTAGATAGTCTGAGCTTTGTTGAGACATTATGTTACACGGACGGGGAAGGACAGATAT